CTCACAAAGTAGAATTTTTGCTCACAGGACTCCACAGCTCAGAGGGAGGCTCGTTTGGGGAGCGTAAGTTTGTGAGCCTCAGAAAATAGCATTCAAGGACAGTGACTCTGGAGCGTGCACACAAACCCTATAGAAATCTTGCTTTACATAGGGGGAGGGGGGGTCAAGTTCTTATTAGCCCAGCCTGGATCCCCCCCCCAAAAAAAAATCCTTGGTAATATAACATTTTGCAGCGAGGAGGAGGGAGGGGAGCGAAAGCCCTGCTCTGTCTCACGTCCCTCGCAAGCAGTTCCTATTTAAAGCCTCTCCTGGTGGCTGGTGTGTGTTAGCCAAGGCAGCAGCAGCGGTGGGAGGAGCTCCTCGGGAGGAGGCTGGGGAATGGAGCGGCAGGAGCGCGTACATGAGCGAGGGAAGCTGGCGAGCCGAGGAGAAGCAGCAGCGGCTCTTTGGCCCGGCAGGCAGGCAGGCAGGCCAGCAGCTGCGGCGGCTTGGGAGGGCGAGGGGTCTTCAGCCCCCCAGCCCCCGCATAGATTACGCCGGTGGCACTGGGGGGTGGGGTTTAGCGGCAGCACCAGCTGCACTTTGGGTCCGGGGTGGGGTTTGCCTCTGAGGAGGACCCCCGCTTCCGAAAGTCTTTTTTTGATCCGCCTGTCCCGCGCGGAGGTGCTCAAAAAAGCACGCGACGGCAGCCCGGCCATTCTCTCTCCCCCTCTCTCTCCCAGGACTGAAAGCGCCCCACCCACTACTTACCCGCGAGTAAACCTACCCGGGGTCCGGCTGCCAAGCTTTTTTTCCCCTCCCCCGTGCATCCCACTCTTGGGTTCCTTCCTGCTGCCTCCAGCCGCGACGAGGCAAGAGCCAAGCCGCCCCCGCGGAGAACTTCCCCGCCTCGCTCGGTCCCTGCAGACGCCCGCCAGCAACTCTTTCCGCTGCAGAGGAAGGGGAAACGCTTCCTCCCCCTCCCCGCGAGGCAACGACGGCTCCTAATGCACCCGGACGGGGCTGCTCGCGAGTAAAATCTGCACGGGGCGGCCTTGCGGGAGGGGGGCAGGGGTTACCTGCAGGACGGAAAGGGTTGAGGTGAGCCAGCTGCAGTCGCTAGAGGGGACGAACAAGGGGGGGGGAGGAAGAAAAAGTTCTTTCCGGGGTTGGACGGGGAGGAGGCTTTGCTCTTGCATTGGGGCCACAGAGACCTGGGAGGGGCCCCTTCCGATCTGCAGCAGGAGGGGGGGGACCTTCTAGCCCGATCCCTGGAAGGTTTACTCATCGCAAGTAAGTGGGGGGGGATAAGCCTATCTAGACCTGCAATGACAGCCCCTGGGGGTAGCAGGAGTGTTCTGGGACTGGAATGACAGGTCCCAGAGTAGAGTGACAGCCCCTGGAAGGAGCAGGAGTGTTCTGGGACTGGAATGATAGACCCCACAGTGGAGTGACAGCCCCTGAGGGTAGCAGGAGTTTTCCATGGCTGGAATGACAGGCCCTGGGGGTAGCAGGAGTGTTCTGGAACTGGAATGACAAGCCCCAGAGTGGAATGACAGCCCCTGGAAGGAGCAGGTATGTTCTGGGACTGGAATGAAAGGCCCCAGAGTGGAATGACAGATTCTGGGGGTAGCAGGAGTGTTCTGGAACTGGAATGACAAGCCCCAGAGTGGAATGACAGCCCCTGGGGGGTAGCAGGAGTGTTCTAGGACTGGAATGACAGGCCCCAGAGTGGAATGACAGCCCCTGGAAGGAGCAGGCGTGTTCTGGGACTGGAATGAAAGGCCCCAGGGTGGAATGACAGATTCTGGGGGTAGCAGGAGTGTTCTGGAACTGGAATGACAAACCCCAGAGTGGAATGACAGCCCCTGGGGGGTAGCAGGAGTGTTCTAGGACTGGAATGACAGGCCCCAGAGTGGAATGACAGCCCCTGGAAGGAGCAGGCGTGTTCTGGGACTGGAATGAAAGGCCCCAGAGTGGAATGACAGATCCTGGGGGTAGCAGGAGTGTTCTGGGACTGGAATGACAGGCCCCAGAGTGGAATGACAGCCCCTGGAAGGAGCAGGAGTGTTCTGGGACTGGAATGACAGGCCCCAGAGTAGAGTGACAGCCCCTGGAAGGAGCAGGAGTGTTCTGGGACTGGAATGAAAGGCCCCAGAGTGGAATGACAGATCCTGGGGGTAGCAGGAGTGTTCTGGGACTGGAAACACAGACCCCAGAGTTGAAGGACAGCCCCTGGGGGTAGCAGGAGTGTTCTGGGACTAGAATGACAGGCCCCAGAGTGGAATGACAACCCCTGGGGGTAGCGGCAGTATTCTGTGACTAGAATGAAAGGCCCTGGGGGGAGACTTGAAAGGCTCTGCTTCAGGGTCCTGGATCTTTCAGTGCTTTCCTCCAGCTGTGCGGGGCAAGGGGGGGGAGGAGACCTGACAGACCAGAGGGAGATGTCAAAGTTGTGCCAGATGGGGGCTGACCCCCAAAAGATCATGCAACTCCCTTTCATAATCTCGGGGGGGCTAAGAGGGAAGCCCCCCCTTCCTACATAACCAGGGGAGTAGCAAAGCTGCCTGTGAGGTAGAGGAGGCCACAGAACAGGGGAGGGGCTCCTCTACCTGGGCTTGCCAACCTCCAGGGGGACCTGAAAATCTCCTGGAATGACCACTGGTCTCCAGACTACAGTGCTGGGCTCCTCGGGAGAAAATGGCTCCTTCGGAAGATGGACTCTGTGCCATTCTGTCCCCACCCAACTTCCTTCCCTCGCCCAAACCTTCCCCTCCCTGGGCTCTGCCCCCCCCCAATCTCCAGGGATCTCCCAACGTAGACTTGGCAACCCCCAGACCCCTCCCACTTTACCCCACATTCCCCCAAAGAGCAAAGGAGGCGCGGCTGTGTTGCTGCTGCTGGGGGGCTTGATGTGGACAGGAGGCAAAGCCTGCCAGGGAACCAGTGGGGATGAAGGGGAGGGACAGGAGTGTGTGTGTTCTCCCCCCCCCCGCTGCTCCCCAGCCTTGACCCACCACACACACACCCAGGCCCAAAGAAGAGGAGGGGGCCGTCTTCCTTTCCGTGCCTCCTGCAGGTCTTTCCTCCCAGGATCTTCTTTTCTGCTGCTCAAAGCGGGGGAGGGGGTGGTTTAAGTGGGAGGAAGGGTCTTCCCCCCCAAAAAAATTGCTTTCTCATTAATTTAATTAATGGAAGACCACCACTCCCTGCCTAGCATCTCTCCTCCAAAAGCTCACCGACTCTGACAGGCCCGTAGCTATAGTGAGGCATCTCGGGGGCCAGGCCCCCTGAGTTACTGCCAGCCCCCCCTGACTTCCACTCTGGGAGGACTGGGTTTGATTCCCCACTCCTCCTCCACATGCAGCTGCTGGTGTGACATTTGGTCGATCATAACTTCCTTCAGAGCTGTTCTCTCCAGGGCAGTCCTCGAGAGAGCTCTCTCAGCCCCGCCCACCTCACAGGGTGCCTGTGGTGGGCCGGGGAAGGGAAATGAGTTTGTCAGCCGCTCTGAGACTCCCTTGGGTAGTAAAGGGCGGGGCATAAATCCAATCTCCTCCTCCTCTTCTTCAAATTTCCAGGAATGCAGACTTGGCAATATTGACATGTATGTCTAAGTTGTATAGTAAGGTAGAAAGCGGTTACTGAGTTTAGATCAGAATGATCTAGTATGTAGGTCTTAGCTGTCATGCTAAGTGGTTAATGATCTTACATCCAGGTGGTAAACTACCAGGTGATACTCTTTGTATATAGTTAGAGTACTTAATTAGTCTAACCTGTTAGTGATTGGATGGGGTCTGTATATATGCTGTAAACTTGATAAGCTGGGTTGGGAGACTTGGCTGTCTCCAACCGAGGTATGTTATGCTGTGTAGCAGTCTGTATATGCTCTGTGTAAATGGTCACCATTATCTCGCTAGTAAACTTTCTGCACCTCCATTACCAGTTGGTCTCCGGCTTCCTTATTTACTACACCCAATAGGCAACCCCCAAACCCCTCCCTCCCACTTTACCCCCACAAGGGTCTCTCCCCCCCCCCCGAGTCCCAAGTCTGTCAAACACAACAACAGTCCTTCAAGGAATTTCAGTTTATTGCGAGAAGTACTTAGGTCATCGTTCCACACGCTCTGTGTCAGGAGTGGGGGTTTAAGCGGGAGGCCAGAGAATTATACACAGTTCATACTAGGCCCCCTGATGGCAAAGGACCAATAAGGGTGGTACCTGTGCGCAGGGGCGGATGGAGGCTCACCGGTGCCCGAAGCACTGACCAAATCTTGGTGCCCCCCCCTCCTCCTTTCCACACTGACCCCCAGTCTGTTTTAGTGGCTGACCTGTCTGGCCAGATAGACAATGCAGGTTGCAGCAATACAACAATTTATTCATAGGATAACACAATATACTATACAAACTAAATGAAGCTTGGGCTACATAAAGTTCTACAAAAATGCAATACGTCTATTTTTCTTCTTTTCACCCCTTTCCCAACTTTGTGGTGCCCCCTTTGGCCCTGGTACCTTAACCACGTGCTTATTCTGCTTAAGGGTTGTAATGTATCCAGTCCCCACCGCCTGGCAGAATAGGGCTCCACGCGGTCAGGCAAAACCTTCCAGCTTCGATCAGGAGAAAAATGGACTATGCGGATCCTAGGCCGCACCTATCGGAGGGCTAGGCTCCCGGCGGAGAGCCTGTGGAACTCTTGGTTACTGTAAATAGCCTATTACTGTGTGTGGGTGTGTTTTGGGTGGTGGTTTCACTGGGAATGGAGCTGCGGTGGCTCAAGTGGTTAAGATGAACGGCAGGCTGTGGAAGGTCAGTAGTTCAGCAGTTCGGGACCCGAGTTCCTGCATGACGGAGTGAGCTCCTGTCTCTAGTTCCAGCTCCTGCCAACCCAGCAGTTCGAAAGCAAGAAATTGCAAGTAGATAAATAGGTACTAAAGGAGCTGCGGTGGCTCAAGTGGTTAAGACGCTGAACTGCAGGCTGTGGAAGGTCAGTAGTTCAGTAGTTCGAGACCCGAGTGTGCCGCATGACGGAGTGAGCTCCCGTCTCTAGTTCCAGCTCCTGCCAACCTAGCAGTTCGAAAGCAAGAAATTGCAAGTAGATAAATAGGTACCACTTTGGTGGGAAGGTAGCAGCGTTCAGTGCACCTTGGTGTTTAGTCATGCCGGCCACATGACCACGGAAACGTCTTCGGACAGCGCTGGCTCTTCGGCTTGGAAACTGAGATGAGCACCGCAACCCTAGAGTCGGACTCAACTGGCTTTCGAGCAAGGGAACCTTTACCTTAAATAGGTACTGTTTCAGTGAGAAGGTAACAGCGTTCCGTTCGCCTCGGCATCCAGTCAACCCTAGAGTTGTATTCGACTGGCTTTTGAGCAAGGGAATCCTTTACCTACACTGGGAATATAAGCCAGCCTGCTTCTTCTATGCGAATAAAAGTAGAGAGCTGTAATCACTCATCTGTCTCCGTACTTTTCAATGGTTAATCTGCCACTGCTTGCCCGCCCCCAAAATAAAACGGCCCACAGCTCCCAGTGGGAAAAGGCGTCCTGGCAGAGCAGAGCTCCAAGGACAGAGACCAGATAAGGGAAGTGCGATAAGCCCATACCAAGACCAGTGGGAGGGGGGGCCAGGGAAAGCTGGGAGGAAAGAGACGGGGATGGGGAACAAAAGCAGAGCGCATCCATGGTGGTGCCATACAACACCCCCCCCCCAAAAAAAATTATTGCTTTCTCGTTCATTTAATTAATGCAAGACCAGACCACCACCACCACCACCCCCGCCCAACAGCTCCCCTCCAAAATCTCCCTGACTCTGAAGGAGGCGCCTGCAGGCAGACGAGCGTTGAGAGCAATGCTTCCTCTAAGCAGTGGAGTCTTGTGAGCAAAAATTCTACTTTGTGAGCTGCTGACATTAAAGCTGTGAGCGAGCGATTGGGCCATTGCATAAATTAGTTTGCGCTGGAGAGCCCCCCTTTCCTGAGCGAAGGCAACAATGTGTGAGCCGGAGGCTAAAAAACTGTGAGCTAGCTCACACTAA